TGGGTCCGTGGAGTTCTTGATCCTGAGTTTGGCTGTGAGACTTTCGTTCTAAGGCTCCGATGTCATTGGATGAATTCATTAAGACTGCTTTACCCTTGTGTTGAAGCCTTCATTCGGCTGCTTGAGTGCCGAGTCAACTGGTGTTTATTTATTTCCTCGATGCAATATATTATATTGAAAAAAGCAGAACACCCTCAAACATTTTGCGCTCGTGACTGCTTCCGGGATATAAGAATTGCAGGTGGAAGGATTGCAATTTTGAGAGGATTTTTGGAGGACTTACGTGAAGCAGAGCAGGTGCATTGTCCATGTCCGCATACTTTGATTTATGCAGATGATGCGGATGCTGGTTGAGGATGACAGAACTGTTCTTCAGCAAAACAAATGGTTGTGGGTCAAAACCCGTATCCCCAAACCAGGGTAGGTTGACATCCTTATTAGTCCCAAAACCAAATGTATTTACCTGGATTTACATGGCAACAATATAGATATATATACACATATTTGGTAGTTGTTGAGTAAGCTCAATAAAACATAGTTAGGATCGATACAAACCTGAGGGTTCAACTGCAATGATCTCACAGGCCAACAAGGGTTGCGAAGGGTTGCGGGATACATGGGCGTACTATTGTGTTCTTTACGGTTCTCTTTGCTACACATCTCTTGTCGTTTCCGAGTCCTTTTTCTTTTCTCTTGCTTTGTTCCTTGTTTTGTTTTTGTTTCCCTTCTCAGGCTCCGTTGAGGAAGACGATTCGCTGGGTCCACCTCCTACTGTCCTACCCAAAAGGCTCCAAAAGGTTCAACACTTCCATACAGGGCAAGTAAAAGAGCAAAAATATGCGCAAAAGGCAGACAAACCTCAACAAAATTGACAAGTAGCAAAAACAGTGACTCTCTCCAATCTATCCTGCACCTTCCTTTTCTTTGTTTGTTGCGTGTCATTTCCTTTGACCCTTTTCCGTTTCTGGCATAGGCGATTGCAAAGTAAGGGGCAGGGCAGGAGATCACTGAAAAGGAAGGAATTGAAACCGAAAAAGAAGATGGAAAGACTAGTAAGTAACTAAAAGGCAGGCGAGAAAAGGAAAGCCTTGAAGGAAGGCCATAAAAGTATGCCATATTAAAAAGGGCACAACGGGAAAGGCCCCAACCCTCATTTAAAAAGAAAAGTTGTTTGTGGCTGAATATGCTAGCCCTGTTGTTTGTTCATGGCGTTGAACTTTGAATGTTTAACTTAAACAGAACTGCTTGTAGACCCTCTAGACTTGTTGAAACTAACATGGTGTGCTGAGAAACATGTGTTTTTTTGAATTGTAGTTGTCGCTTTTGTTGGCTTCTCGTGTTTTTTCTGACTTGCATTTGTTGCTTCGTGGAGTTGCTTCTTGTTTTTTTTACCGTTTCGAAATATTTCCAGATTTTCCAGAGCCCAATTCCAAAGCTTTGTAAAACGCCCCACACACACACAAACAAGCGAGTCACCACATTTTGGCAATGATGAGGTTAGCGCTAAAAGCAGAAGTTGGAGCCTTGCGCTCAGTTCCTGTGTTGGACCCTGATTTCATGCTTTTACTTCGAAGTTCTCATCTTGAAGGAAAGATCCAGCTCCAGGCACAGCCTGTGCTTGCTTCACGTGTATCGCACTTAATTATATACTTGCACACGGTCTTCATGTTTTGGCGCGATCAATGCTGTCCACTCATCATACTATGATAGTATAAGCGAAAACAGGAGTCTAGTGAGTGACCTGCCAAGCAGCAACATACGATTGACGGACTATTGTTTGTGAGTTGGCTGAAACAGGCAAGGAAGAAGATAAACTGCTGTTCAACACGTGACTTGTCGATGATGACATGGGCCTTCTCCAAGCCTTGCTCTGAGCGCACCAGACGCCAATTGACATAGGGCTTATCGGTCTTATCTATTATCTGTTGTGCTGTGCATTTGCATATACCATACACCGAGCAACGTTGGTCGGACACAATTCCAGAGCACAGCGTGCCTGTTGGGCTGGGGCCGGGTCAGGTGTAAGCAAGTCGACAAAAGTGTATTTGATGCAGCGATTGGCTTGCTTGCAGATATGGCCCCACAATTTCGCCCCCAAGGCCGGCACTTAAGCATGACATAGTCATGGCTTCAGCTGAGTCAAGGAAAAAATAAGCATGCAATCCATTGCAAATGACAACATTGCAACGTTGGTCGTTCAAAGTGTCTTCTCGGGCAAAGCTTTTGGTTTTGGTTGCAAGGCCTCACAAATCTATGCTGGGCCTTTGTCACAACGCGTTTCACCACTGGAGTGGAGGCCAGTCGACTTAGTGAAGCTGCAATGACATTTGACATCTTCCAGTCGTGATCAGGAAACCACAAAAGAGATCCTCAGGAGAGGTATCTCAGAGTTTTCTCCACAGGCCGTGGGTCAACTGCATTTTCTCGACGTCAACCGCCCAATGAAATGAGAGGCCATTTCAATTCTTGCTTGGTGCAGCGCCACAGCTTTGCAAAGCTCGCTCCTTGCCTACAGAACGGGGGTTCTCCATGCCTCCTTCAGCATCTTTTTTAAGGGGCTCAAGATTCACAATCCAGAGACAAATATGATGTGTCAAAGAACGCGGCCATGTAATGAATCATACATTAATACATACATAAGTCATCATAAGTCATACATGCATGTATATGATATGGTACCATACAGCTACTCAGCTACTCCCCCTTGTACCTATCACGCAGGCGCAAACCGCTTCAATTTTTCACCGGTGTATTACAGGCCACTAGGATCAGGAGACGTTGTTAAAGGAGGGCCATTTAATATTGGAGTGTGTTGTTTCCTTTTTTGTTTTTTGTTTTTTTCGTGGCTTCTGGCTTCTGTGGCTTCTGGCTTTTGTGGCTTTTGGCTTTCGTGGCTTCTGTGGCTTTTGTGGCTTTTGGCTTTTTGACCTATCCATCTATCTATCTATATTTATTTCTTTCTTTCGTTCTTTCTTTCTTTCTGTTTTTCTTTCTTTCTTTTTGGCAGCTGTTCTCCTTTCTCTTTTTGCATTTGCTTTTCCTGTTGTTTGCGTTGCAGAGACGAAACCAAACAAGGAAGCAATCAAGCAAGCAAGCAATCAAGCAAGCACGAGCTGCTTACCTTTGGATCTGGCGTGCTGCTGGGGGGGGCGCGTGCCCCCCCCAACCCCCCCCGCGCCACGAAATCTGCACTTCATCCCAGACACCCGCGCCTGCCACGAAATCAATATTTTAAGGTGAACTCCCCGGTGCAAAACTTTCTAACCAAGCAAATATGCCTCCTCTATCAATTTATCTATCTATTTTTCCATCTATCCATCTATCTATCTATCTATCTATTTATCTATCTATCGACCCATTTATCTTTCTATCTGTCTATCTGCAGTTCAACATCCACAAAGTACTGCACCTGCCACGAAATCTGCACTTCAAGGTCCACAAAAAGTCCTGCGCCTGCCACGAAATCTGCACTCGAAGGCCCACAAAGTCCTGCACCTGCCACCAACTCTACACTTCCACATCCACAAAGTCCTGCATCTGCCACGAAATCTGCACTTCAAGGTCCACAAAGTACTGCACCTGCCACGAAATCTGCACTTCAAGGTCCACAAAAAGTCCTGCGCCTGCCACGAAATCTGCACTCGAAGGCCCACAAAGTCCTGCACCTGCCACCAACTCTGCACTTCCACATCCACAAAGTCCTGCACCTGCCACGAAATGTGCATTGCAAGGTCCACAAAGCACTGCACCTGCCACGAAACACGAAAAACAAAAAAAACAAAAAAGAAACAAAAAATCCAAAATTAAGTCGCGGCCCTTTTGTTAAATAGTTGTGGGCGTTGCAACAGTTCTCACTAACAGTTCTTTTTTGCAACTGATAACAAAACACAAACCTTGTAATCAATTAAGTAAGAACTTTCTACTACCCTTAGATCAGAACAACATCCAGATAAAAGAAATGTCCTCTTCACATGAGCCCCAGCACAAAAGCAGTGTTTACATTATAGAGAAGCCTTGCTGTATCCTAAGCCTTAGCACAAAAGGTTCTATTTGTCACAGGTGTCAGGAGAATTCATCGAATAAATAAAGCTAATGTCCTCATTGGTATGAATTCGTGTCCTGAAGAGCAGCCAACGTCCTAGATCAAAGCCCACGTCCTAGATCACTGTTTGTAGGGGGTTTGATCCTTTTTCCTTAAGGTATTCTGTCCTGCGTTTATTGTTTTCAGAGACCATGACCATGCTCACTTTACTTGAGCAAAATTTGTCCAATACGATCTTCTGAGATATGTGAAGTTAACACGAGTTGACTCTATATATACATTGTTACATCTACCCCTGCTTTCTACATGTGACTACCCCACCTCTCTATTGATACGTATATATATATATATGTCATGCGTTATATGCACACACTTTTGAATATGTCGAAGTATACATGCATAGTACACATGCACATGTTCACTGCACCTCGTGCAGATATGTAGTCTGGAAGACTGGATCGGTACACATGCATATTCTCGCTGGGTATCTTGCATGTATAGAAATGCGCATACAGATAATTGCTGTTCATCTCGCGCGCGTAGAACTTGTAACTATGAAATGATTTTCGGACATGAAGGTTCGTGTCAAAGTCTCGCAAAGTTTCAAACAGTTGTCGAACATCAACAGCCAGGTGCGTGTTGGGGCCAAAGTGTGAAACTGCCGTTGAACATGAATGTGCATCTTGCAAAAGTGTGCAATTATCGCCGAAAACGAGGGCTGAGATTGCCAAAGTGTGAAGTTGGCGTCAAAGTGAACGTGTCCTCGAAAATGGACATTTGGGAATGTGACCTGGCGGTGTTATAGTGTTGTAGTGCACATGTAGCGCGTGAAATAGCTACTCCGGGCTCGGAACTTTGCGGTACGACTGTTACGACTGTAGCGCCGAGAGTTTCTGCGGGCTCCCACCTCAAAATTGGCAACCTTGTAGTATGCGTGTTGTAGAACTGGCAACCTGGTAGTATACTGCAATGATTGGCGGTGTCAACGAGGCTTGGCCCTCATTGTTGTGTATGATGCACGGTGTGGCTAAATTAGATTTGTGATGTTATTGTGCCTGTGAAATTATTGGCAAGCGGGATGGTTGGCAGTGTCAACAAGGCTTAGTGTCACATTGTTGCATCTTGTTTCGGCGCATGGTGTAGCGAAGCATACACACGGCATGCACTCGCCGCTACCATGAGGCTCCTCTCTTCTTATTTGCGCATCGTGATTACAATAGGCAACGCCACTTGCACTTTGTAAAAGAAGGTGTCCCTTGTATTTGGGCACGCTGCTGCAAAAAAAGCTAGCGTGTCCATGAGTTTGTTACCTCGCATCGCGCTCCCAGGGGAAATAATGATCATGTGTTATACACGTTAAACATGGGCCCTGTGTTTTTCAGGTAGCGCCCCCAATGTTTTGCTACAGTATGTAACAAGCAAGAGCACTGACGATGTCGCGTGGTGCCCCTGGTTGTGTTCCACACGGCGCTTTCAAAACGTGAAACCTTGCACCAAACGCCGATCGACGCATCGTGTGCGTAAACTGTGGTTTTGTTTGCCCAACATTGCGCTGGGAAACAAAGAGAAGAGCAAAGAAAATCTAAACGCGTTTGGGTGGAGAGAGAATCAAGAGCACATTTATGTGAAGGAAACATTTGGACTTGAGTCTTCGCATTTCGACTTGTGAAGGAATGTCTTCCTGTTTTTGCAGCCGCGTTGCAGTCGGCACCGACGATCCGTTTGGTTCAGCTCTTGTCGCCCGAGCGCGCCCGGGGTTCTGCGCAGGCCACCGTAATTGTTTGTTTGCATTATTGTTGTTTCTTCGAGGCACATGTGAGATGACCAGGCAGACATGCAGCGGCTGTGTCGCATGAAAACCTTGCAGTGTGGAGACTCGCCGGTCTCGCAGGCAACCTTTTTGGTCCGAAGGTCGCTGCGAAAAACCCGCCTTTAGCTATGAACGTTGGACCAGAGTCGCGTTGTTCGCTTGTGGAGCAGGCTGAAGGTGGTGGACAGGCAGCGCACGCTACATGGCGATCTTGTCGTGGCTCATTCAAAGCCTATAGACTTTAGTTTTTTGGATCGCAGCCCCCTGTGTATAGCCAAGTCTCCTCGTGCTTAAAGACTTCGGTGGGTTGACATTTTCTGGGTATATTCTACATGTGTACTGTCGCGCGTGAGGTGCAGGCAAGATTGGTTGGACCTCCCGCCACGTGGAGACAGTGGCCAAGGGGATCTTTGACCATCTGCCGATGTGTGCTCATGAAGTGGTCAACAGTGGCAAGTGGAGCGGCGGTGGCATTGTTCGGCTGGACTCGGCCCTAGTCAGGCCATCAGCAGCAGATGTTGCTATTAATTTTCACGTTCTCAAGCCAGTGATTGAAGAATTCCCTGACCGAGTTTCTTTGATGGGTGTATGCAACCGGTTTATTGGTTTTATATAGTTATATATATATATATGTGAAGCAAATTGTTTTGATGATGCGTCGATTCTGGCACCTTCAAGGTTCCTTCGGGCTATTTCCTGACCGACTGCATCATGTGGCTGGACACTTTGTTCAAAGGACAGCTGCTGGTTGGAGCCAACACCAAACTTCAGATTGCGGCTGAAGAGGGGGTCAAGATCAAGAAGCTTGTGGGGGCAGTCCGATCACTATGGCGATCGTCGCCTGCTGGCAATCACCCTCGGGTGACTCAGTTGAAGGGGCTCTTGAGGCCTTCGCCCTCTCGCAGCCGTGTTGCATGTCTGCGGATGAAAGGTTCAGGTGTTATTGTCTGTTGTTGGTGGGTTTTATTTCATTTCATTCGAGCTTGCAAACTCATGGTCCCAGTCTGACCTGAGGCTCATCAGGATGAGTCTGAGGAGGAAAAGGTCGGTGAGAGCACTCGCGGCAATGAGGGGTCCGATTGCAGTGACATCGATGAGGCCATGCCAAGTGACGATGACGAGGTGTCTCCTGTCCCTGTGCAAGATGGTCAGGATGAGTCCGATGAGGCTCAAGAGGACCGTCGCGACCACGACAGTTTGAGCGCGTCAACCCTCCGACTTCCAGGTAGGGTGTTCTGGACAAGAAATACGTCGTTCTTGTCAGAAAAGGTTTCATGGTTTTGCTCTGAGCTATTTTAACATCAATCTTGCTCTGCGCGCAGTGTTTGCAAGTTTTCGCATGGCCTTGCAGGCAAGAGCGACGATGAGAGTGATGAGGATAGACCCATGGATGACATGGCTGACAGCCAGCGCGAGGGAGCATGGATGGGGCAGGCCTACCAAGTAGTGGGCGCGCTTGACCGGCTTGAGAAGACGGTTGTTCCAATTGAAACCCTGTATGATTGGTGCTGCAAGCGTCGGCCTTCACGGACAGAGTTTTTGGGTACCTTCTCCAAGCAGGATGTGAGGTACTCTAGCGTGGAAGTGAGTAACGGTTACTTTGGTGGTCTTTGTGTTTATTTCGATGCGTGTAGGCGATTACGTCAAA